CCTGCATCAAGGCTCAAGATAGAGACCTGATTTTTATCACACACAAGACTGTGGAAGAATGCAAATCCAAAATCCAAATAAACACCTTTAGTTGAGGATCTTTTTTAAAAAATTAAGAAAGTATAAAATAATTTAAAGAACATTCTGGATTGCTGTGGAGAAGATGCTGTTTGAATTTCAGTGAAGAAGAAGACTGCTGCCACCATGAGAGTAAAACTAAAATGCAAGTTATCCAGATTGTATTGGATGTACAGCATAAATACGTAATTTCAAAATGGAAGCATCAGTAAAAAAAAATTCAAAGTTACAGTGCATTTTCAAAGGTGCAATAGTAGAGGTTCTTTATTATAAGGGCTGTAATTCATATGCCTATACTTGCCTAGCAAATACACTACTCCTTTATTATTCATAACAGTGTTGAATTTTTTGCTACCTATTAGAACATCTTTAATACAAGGAATTAATCAAGAGCATTATTCAGTTATGCAAACCCAATGCCCTTTCAATGAATTTATTACTTTAATTCTTAGTAAAATAATGTTTAAAAATACAATTCAGAATATTGTCAAAGTTTTCAGTATACTTACTTGGGTTCTCTAAGCACTGAATAGTAGTAACCAATATAGAGAACATGATTTTATTTGAAATCTATGGCAGTGTTATAAATCTTTTAAACAAGTTGCTATCATATTTGAGTGAAATGTTAAGCCAGACTCCTTTTTTCTAAAACTTTTCCACAACAGACCTGATAGTGAAGTTACTGAAGGAAAAGGACCGAAATTTTCTTGTTTAGTCCTTTGGAGGGACATGGAGGGTGATAGTCATATAATGTCTGCAATTAATTTGATTTCCTACTGAGAATTAGTAGCTTGCTGAATGTTGACAGTACAGTTTTGCAGCACTTGGGAATAGGAAAAAAAAACTTGGAGAACTGTGGATACTTCATTCCTTGGGTATATTTGCAGTGATTCTGCTATTTAATTTACAAGACCACTTCCAGCAAAAATGAATATGGTTATTTCCAGAAAGGACTGAAAGAAATAGTAAATTATACATGTTGTGCAAAATCTTCCTGAAGTCCTTGTTGGGTAAGCTGATAAAAATACGGAGAACGTTTTCCTAGTTAATTTCCTTGAATGAGTGGATTAGTTGCATTTTCTTCACAGGAAGAAAAGTGAGCCAATTTAAACAAAAAAAAAAGGATCCAAGAGAAATAAGATTTAAAATTTCTGCTACTATGTGCACCTATTTACATTTCTTAACTGCTTTGATGATGAGCATTTATAAATACAATCCAACTGGAAGACATGTTGAATGTAGGAGAGAACATAGATCTGCATAGATCTGCCTATCTATAAATTAATTGTAGAAAGTTCCATCTGAAAGGGATATCATAAAATGCTGCTAGAGCAGCAAATTCAAAATGACCATCAATAAAAGTGCTCCCAAAATGGTTGCACGAACTCAATTTTTGATATTGTATGTGTCTCAAGAGTTTTAAGATTTGAAAAATACATCAATTTTGACAGTGCTGATTTGAACAAAATTACAGTAGGCAAAATATATGAAATGGATTTGCCATTGCTTTCTCCTATTAAATACGATTTAATACATTTTTGTAGATGTTTTTCTCTGTGTTTGATCATTTATGGAGGATCAGTATTTAACATTTCTTTTTTAAATGAATGGTTACTTGTGCTGTGTACATAAAGATACACAAATTGAGAAAAATAAACATCGTAGTTTTCAATCTTTGTTCACTAATGACCTGAGCAGTAATTTGCAGTTGACCTAAATTACTTCGATCAGAAGTAATATTAACTGAAGTTGAATTAAAACTTGATACTATATTATTATAGGTAATTACAAAACTTGATATGCAGTTACAACACTGAAGATCCCTGAAGGGACTTTTTATACATTTCATGGCATAGAGGAAATCAAGATATATAGAGATTATTCTTGACAGCTTTACTGGAAATGTCGCAAAAGGAATGGGCTTGAATAATCTCCACTATCAAAACAGTTTTCAAGATCATTTCTAGTAGCTAGTAAATTTCTCTGTATTTGTGTTCTGTTCGATTTTGATTAACCAGTGGAATAGCTTGCCTTCAGAAATTGTGGGCGCTCCATCACTGGAGGTTTTTAAGAAGAGACTAGACAACTCTATGAAATAGTATAGGTTCTCCTGCTTGAGCAGGGGTCTGGACTAGAAGACCTCTAAGGTCCTTTCTGATTCTATTCTAAAGATTACACATATCCCTTTCAACTTAAGCAAAGTCAAGCACGGACCTGACGTGGCCCTCAATGAAATTTAGTTTGTTTCATTCAAATCAATGAAAGGTAGAGCACTGATATTAGTGGTGTAGTGGCCATCCTGGAAAATGCAAGGGGCTGGCTCATGTGGCTTCAGCCTGGTCTATCCAATCCGAAAAGGAAAGATGCCAGCAGTTTGGGGAGTGGCATCAATCCAGTTGGCCACCCCCCCCCCCGAGGTCAAGCACAGACCTGATGCGTCCCTCAATGAAATTTAGATCTACCCTATCCTCATCCATAGAAACTCACCAGACAACTTCAGCCAGTAATTTATCTCAGCACAAGATAACTATCAGTAGCTGTTCTAAGAACAAGTGGTCAAAAGGACCATTTTTGTTGGAGATGTTATCACATAAATCTGGCTACTAACAATTGTGTGGAATAAGAGCTCTCAGTACTCTGCAACACAGTGTAAGTTTTCCTTTCCCAATAAAAGTAGCCTTTAGCAGGTGCTCTTTTTTTTTTCCTACCTGCTTATGTACATGCATACGATAAATTGACATAAATGTTGAAAATGTTCAGCACTGCAGCAGCTATGGGTGACCCTTGTCCAGGTCTTATTTTATTACAATTTTTCAATACAGTAATATACAAAACAAAAGTAAGACAGAAAACAAGAAAAATGAAATGAAAAATGAACAAAACATGTGCCTTCCATCCTATTGAGGAATTGCCATCTAATTCTTTATCTTCGACCGTTAATTCCAGATGTGGAAATCAATTCAGACTTCTTTCAACAAAATCTCCATAAAAGATTTCCAATCATTCACACAAAGAAAAAAGTCCTTATATTTTTCCCTGACCAAATTTTCTCAAGTTTAGTTCATTTTATAACCCATCTTGCCTTGGCCAGGTCTGACTTGTACCAGCTTACCCTGAAAATTCAACTTGCCTCTGGATTTTTATCAGCCTAAACTTGGGGCAGGATGTTTAGGTTCAACTAAACCTTCAACTGTTTCGTAGGAAGGCAACAAAATATATTTTCTACTTTGTGCACGTTCCTCCAAACTGGTGATAAACAATTTCTTACAGTATTTTTTTTTTCCTGCCAGCTACTAAGGCCTTCAAAACAAGGGAAAAAGACAAATCCACTTGTACTTCACAAACATGGAGCCAGATGCTGAACAGATTATAGTGGTGTTATAAATTCCACATCTGGGATGCCCTTTGAATAAGCTTTTTCTCCTGCTCTTCCACTTAAACTAACAGAATGAAGAGGTTTCAATTACTTTTAACCCCTTTCTCTTTCATGGAAAATAACACAGTAGATTTGGCTCTGTATTCAGTGTAGGGGAGGGGAATCTGCTTAGAAGGCAAATCGAGAATAATAAGTGGTATAAAGCACACCAAAGATTAGTAGGAAAGTTCTTTTGTCCCCCAATCAGCTTGCTGGTCTGCTATCACAACTAGCCTTACCATTGTTCAGTCGTGATACAGTCAAGCCATTAAAAGGCTCTTGAATCAGAAATATCACTTAAGACTTATATACTGCCCCATGGTGCTTTACAGCACTCTTCAGTCAGGGGTGTCAAACTTGCAGTCCAGATGTGTCACATGCTGGCCACAGCCACCCATTTTAGCGAAGGGGGAAAAGGTGATACATGACACCGGGGGCTTGACACCCATTAGATAAACATAACTGCTTCTGCAGTTTTATGAAAGTGTATGTAACAATAATATTGTCTTGCTTTCTGTTATCTTTAGTTCTTTTTATTCTTTAGTACTTTTAGTCTCCAAATTATATGGTCAATAATGCAATCTGAAAAGGTGCTCTGCTTCTGAAGGGCCTGATGTTTCTTTCTGCACTTGCCCTACCAGGTATTTAAATAAGTTTCCCCGGATCGGATAGTTGGCACCGCTGAAGCCACTGCTGCCTGCCTGCTTCCTTCAAGATTACAAAAATAGCCTGCAATAATTTCACCTCAATTACTTGCAATTTATAGGGCCGTAACTGCCAAGATCACTAGAAGCTTTAATAAAGAAAAATTTGAAGCAATGTTAAACAAGTTGTGTAAGGCTACTATGTATTCTTTTTAAACTCTTCTTTGCATGTGTATGCCAGTTGGACCACCCATCTTCCATCATTCAACCACACATTGGCTGAAATTTGTCTCTTTATTGCCAAGTCTCAGCAGCAAGGACCACGGTCCCGGAATAGCATATCCGCTCAACCCTTCCCAACCAATTCCCTTCTGCCCCAAGCTGTCACTTATGCCTGCACATTGTTGTCAAGGAAACCTGTCTTGGCTTTTTCTTTGCACTTACTTTCCCCTTGGGCCAGTTCTGTCCAGAACAATTGTATTTTCATTAAGGAGCATTTCATTCTGCATACAGACTAAAAGATGTGAGATGCACTTGTTTTTATTTGAGCAGACTACCAACACTAGCTTTGTATATAGAAAAATTCATATATAGTCATCTGTACGTCTATCAATATATTATTTCCCTACATATGACAGATGTGCAATTCTGGAAATATATATCCCCAGGTGACTGAAAATTGACACTGCGGGTCATAGGCATGCTTAGTGTAATTAGAAGTATATGAGATCACAGCTTGCAAACAGTCACCCAGATGCTCCTCAGTTAATGTTTTCTGTTTAATGACTATACATTTTAATGCCAAGACATGATTCATGCAAATACACCCATCAAAAATGAAATTACATATTTGCAGCAGCATTTCCTAATGGAACTTTTATGATTTTAACTAGAATCCAGAAATTATGGCTTGAATTTACTTTCACAACTGAGCCATTTTAAGAACTACAATCTTCAGCTCTATATCTTGCAGAGTGACAAGAGATAGTCCTAGACTTACCACAGTTGGAACCAAAATTTCTGTTATATGCTATTGAGGTCATAAACTGAGTCAGACATAATTTTATTTTTACAGCAATCAAGTCATGATCATTAAGGGAATCCAGCTTTCTAGAAATTGGCAATTGCGATCACATGACTGCAGGATGCTTCAACCAGTCGTAAATACAAGCTGGTTGGCAAACACCCAATTTTCAGGATCCTTAACACAATCAAAAGTAAAAAGTAAACTGCACCACAACCTATCGCCATATTCATAGAAACCTTATAAATTACAGAAGACAGCTAAGTCCAATAGCCAAAATTGCTCAATGCTGAAACTTTGTATACTTTTTTCAACAATCAGATTTAAAAATACAGCCAAAACTGTTGGCTGTGTGGTTTGGGTGCTGTGTGTCAGGATATGACGTTTTTGGAATAGCTGTTATGGAGAAGGATGTTGAGTAGGTGTTTCTCTTCTGCTTTTCTTAGTGTTGAGATGCTGCAGTGTCCTGGCCTTTTTGAACAGGGTTTGGAGTTTCTTTTGTATGTGATGGGGTGGTTGCTTGCGAAGCAGAAGAAGTAGTCCATGTGTGTGGGTTTGAATTAGATTATTGAATTAGATTTCTAATTCTCTGTTGTCTAGTCTCCATATTTCAACATTGAAGAATGAAAGTCTGTTGTCTTTCCCCTTTGCATGGAAATTTGATCCCAGGGAGTATATTGAGTAGGTGGTGTTTCTTCAATTTGGGAGCATTTGATGATGGTGGTGGTGTCATCAATATAGCACGTCCAGAATTTTGGTTGGATGCCTCTTTCAACCAGATGCCATTTTCAAGTTTCCCTCTCCCTCCCTTTGGGAAATAAATTTGCAGGTTTAAAAGATGCCACAGCACTATTCTTGTATTGTGCTGTATATCTAGTGCAGAGTTGCTGTGAAGCTGCCTCAGAACAATGGCTCTTTTGCCAGTCTTTATACAAAAAGCCCATCTTCTCTCTTTTACTTTCTGGCTCAGTCATTCTGCAACTACAGGGAACAGAAAATACACGCATTTACTCAGTAGCATCCAAAATATTAAAAATAACTTATTTATGTCAGTAGAAACAATGGCAGACTGCAGGATTGAACTCCTTGCTTCCAAAGATACTGGTGTTATATCTGCAGGAGTAGCTGAAACCAAAGGCCATCTACTTCCTCCACAAGCTAAAGTAAGCTGAGCAAGAATGGGGAATCAGTGGCTCTCGAAATACTGCTGAACTACAAATCCCAGCACAGCAATGAGAGATGCTGAAAGCTTTAGCTCAACAACTTCCAAAGAGTCAGATTCCATCTATCGCAGTCTTGCTGCATAATTTAGCCAGATTTTGTTGTCTGCTGGATTCTTTTTCTTGTCTTCCTAAAGGGCAAATGTAACAGTTCTAAATGTACTGGATCTTTTCCAAATAGTCTCATAGGAGGCTTTGCTGCATATTCCATCTCAAGCACAACACATGTGTAGATTATTGATGAAGAAAGAAAATTTGAGATGTTACTTGAAGCATAGGGAGAAAGAGTGTGCATGTTTAGAAAAAAAATTGTAATAGTAAGAGACATGCTAAATTTTATTTGCAGTGGAAGACCAAAATGAGAAAGATAGAGGCAAGGAAATAGGTTGACAGAAATGGTTAAAACCAAGAATGAACTATGAGAGAATTTGTAAAGCTAAATTCAAGCCTCTTAAGCTTCCAAAAGCCCCATGCAATATTTCCCCTTCAAACGGGAAAAAGTAATTTGAAGCAAACAGGAACAATCACTTCACAATTCTCACCACTTTCTTAAACATTCCAACATGTCTTTCCTGAGGGTGTGAGCAATTTCAGGAGAATATGTTCAATTTAAAAGGAGTGTTGTGAACATAAATAACATTTTCTTCTTCAGATCCTGATCACTAGAGTCCTGGTAGCTCATGATACTGTGCTATTCCTGGTAGTGGTTTCAGGGGAAGGGAAGGTAGCAACCGGAGTTAAAAGCCTCCTAAAACCAAGCCATTCCTATTCTGACTGATAATCCATCTAAAAATTTGAAAAATGTAGCAAAATTATGCCATTGTTGTATGACAGTTCTGCAAATTTCAATGGCGTATTTGCAGATTGTCAAGGAACTACAACTAGTGTGCTATAGGTAGAAGGAGAAGCACTGCACTGAAGTTAAAAAAAAAAGTTTTTTGGCAGAATACCTGAAAAAAATCAGCAAAACTGTATCCTGGCACACTCCTATGCATTTTTTAATATTACTGTCTCAAATAGCACCAAAAGGTATACATTTAGAAGATAGAAAGGTCAAAGGAATCCATCGGTCGTCTTAACTGTACAATGTTCACAAAAATAATACATAATATAACTAGCTGCCAATATAAAAATAATTCCCAAACACAGGTATTCTTTGAAAAAATTACAGTAATGATATTAATTGCATGCCAAAATATAGATGAAATAAAAACCATAGGAACAAAAGACATATTTCAGATATATTCTGACTTGAGACAAAGAATGAAGATATCTATGAACTGTCAAATTTTAAATATGTAACTATCTCCTGCAGATGCTGAATGAGCATAATTTTCTTCAAAGGAGTATGTTCTAGCTGAAATGCAGAGAAAAATGAATAATCAATTCACATGACAGCTACAGTTGATATATGCCTTTTCTGACACCACATTCACCAAAGGCAGTGTGAATGGGCAACACAAAGGCAATATGTTACATCCTGAAATTCTAATTTTTAATCTATTATCTGATAAGAAATAAAGCTTTTGTAGAATCCATACCTGCATCCTAAGAATTACTTTCATTGAAAATGACAGCTTTGTCTGCTTACATCTGAAACACACCAAAAAAATGTTGAATCTTTAGATCATTCTTGTATTGCTGCAAACATTCTATTGTTGTAGTAAAATCTCATAGTTACAACCTGAGCTTAAGGGAGGGAAGAGAAAGGAAACATTGACAAATATAGTTGCCTCCTTAGTTGTGGAACCCTAAATATAGAAAAACAGCTATGGAATTCTGCTTACGGAGCTGCCCAAGCAAGTAGCCTACTACGAAAATAATTTCTTCAGGAAAACAATTTGTTTACTATTGCAGCTTTCCTCTGTGAACAAGTGGTCTATTCTACATGAGGCACTTATATCATTTTTATTTCTCTCAACAACCCTTAGGTAAACTACATAAAGAAATAAGAGGACTGCTCCAAAGCTGTATAATTAATGTGGACAAGTTCCTGAACCTAAGTTTTCCAAATCCTAACCACTATATCACGATCTTTTCAGTAAAATTGGACAATTACTTTCCTATTATTTTCTGGCTCTGAAGATCTGAAAATAGTAATGCTGTAGTGATCCAGATTCAAAGTGGGAAAAAGCGATTCAAGGCATGCAAGGTGTATGCATGTGAAACACTGGGGATCTTTTTCAATTGATTGTCGCTCTCAGTGATCCTAGCATGGAACAGATGATACTTTATCAACTGCACTAGGAAATGTTTTCAAAAGCAAAGAATTTTTATGTAAATATAGCATTATTTTTAAAGCAACTTACACAATGGTGTATTTAAAGTTATCTTTGGTTTTAGGATAAATGTAGTTTTGTTCCATATGCAGCAAACTCCAAAGGAATAATTCCTAGTGTTGCAAAGAAAAAGGCTGCAATAGGGAAAACTTGCTTTATGCCTTGTTTGACACCACATTCATTAGCAACCAAAACGAATGGGCAACACTAAAGGCAAGAACAGAAATTAACTGCACAAATGTGTGCGTGTGCTTTACATGCTCGCACATCATGCAGTAAAAAAAGGCATTGCTTTGTGCATGGAGTTTATCAAGAGTATCATACTCAAACTGCCAAGAAAATGTGAAGCTGTAGCTCAATGCTTATCACCCTCAGCAACTTCTAAGACGCAGGGATATTCACTACTCCCAGAATTCCTCAATCAACAGGCTGGGGAATGTGGGAGTTGGAATCCAAGTATCTTAAAAGTTGTTAAGGTTGAGAATTATTGCTGAGGCTCAACTCATCAGCAAGGCATCAAATTAGGTAAAAGTCACTTGGAATGTGACAAAAAAAAAAATCACGCTCATGCATTATATACCCCCGGGCAAAACCAATCGCCTTCGAGCCAAGGGTCTCGAACCAGGCGGGCGCAGGATCTCCCCGTTGAGTTCAGACTCACCACGTGTTTCTACTGGTCTCGCGCTTTGCAATCGGCGGCCAGGCCACGCGCCTTTCCAGCGGAACGTCACGAGGGGTGCCGGAAGTCGTCCCCGCGCTTCCACTTCCGTCCTGGGAGCCTCCGAGGCTTTCGCCGCGCGCCTAGCACGGGGCGCTTCGTGGTCTGAGACACAAACGGAAGCGCATTTTCTTATCTACCTCAGGATCTGCCCGCGCGGATTTCTTTTCTCATTTTTGCGCCGACTTAAGTTCTAACGGCGCGCTGCATCGAGCGCTTCAAGCGGGGACGAATGCAGGAACCTTTTAGAGTTGCAATCCTAACTATGCCCGCTCCATAAACCGCGTCAAAGGGATTAGTGGTCTAAGGGCGATGCGGGAGAGCTTTATTTCCGCGGCTCAAGTTACTTGCGAGCGAGATTTTTATTTTTTGCAACACTGCAAGCCTGGTTTCCCCGATCCCGAGGCGCCGCACTTGACCCACCCGCAACTCCGGAATTGTAGCGCAACCTTCCCAGAGCGGTTTCTTAGCTTTCCCCGGCCCTAAAGACACCGCCTTGTCTACGCGGTCTTCCCTCCATCCTCTCCTAGGCTGGCCTCCGCCCGCAGATCTTTCCTCACCCGCTTTGCTTTACCTCCATAACCGCCGAGGCAAACCCGGTCCCCTCGCGCGCCAGGCAGAAGGATGGCCTCCCTTGCCTTCGGTTCCCTTTATGCTTTGCTCCAGGACAAACCATGCCAGGCCGGCGGGGGTGCAAAGGCAGGCAACTTCGCGGTGAGAAGTTAAAGAGGGAGGAAAGAAGGCCCAGCCCTCGAAACCTGCATGTGGAGAGCGCGCGAATCGTCCTTCCCTTTCCTCTGCAATGAGCGAAAGAAGAACAGGGATTGCACCAGCTACGGTTCTCTCCGCCCCCTATCAACGGTTGACAAACCACGGAACAGAACATAGAGAAATGCATTTTTTTTTGTAGTACTGTAGCTGTAGTAGTTCCTGCATAGGTTTTTTTTAAAAAAATATTTTGAGTCCAAATGAATTCTGGGAGTTGAAGTTCACACATCTTAAAGTTTTGAAGTTTGAAAAATGCTGATTTAAGCCACGTATGTTTTCAAAGTAATAAAAAAAAGTATAACGAGCGCAAAATCTGGTTTCCACCCTTTTTTTGTCCCGCGTGATTATATCTTCTTTGATTACATGTTAAAAACATCTCTAAAGGCTTTTGGAAAAAAAACTTGGACAGTTCTATGAGCAGAATAGGACCACATACATTTGAATTGGAGCCTTTATTTTTCTTCAGATCAGGTGTAAAATCATTTTTGGTTAAAATTAACTTCCCTATTTTATCATATGGAACCTGCTTACTTTCTTTCCAAGAATATCACAAGTTGAAAAATTAAGGCAAATGGAAATTTTTACAGCAAAATTGACTTCTTGTTTTAGTGGAAACTCTATGAGGATCTTGAAAAAGAAAATTATAGAGCACTTCTGAAAAACTAGCAAAAGATGTCCTAATTCCTGGCTTTAAATGTGACTTGTGGTCGTGCCAATTAATTTATGTTGCACAAAAGATGGTTTTGATTAGAGAGAACTTCAGATGTATGTTTTGAAAGGAACTGTCTCCTTTTGGTGGAGATTTATGATCTAGGGAAAACAACAAAGTGCATTGTGACTCTGATGATTAACAGATGCATTATAGAACAAACATAAAGTCTTACTTTAATTTGGCAAATGAATATCAGACAAAAGAAGAGGGAATAAGAGAGTACAGTACATGCCATGCAAAATGCATGTTTTGCTGAAACAGTTCTAAACATTTGTACATGATAATGTAAATCTTGCTTTAGGGGTAGAAATGCATATGGATTTCAGATCCTTATTCAGGTTGTTCCTAGTGCCTCAAGTAAGGAATACACATTCATCTGGTTATGAAACATTTTACTTTTTTTCAAATGTGTTTAACAAACCAGTGAACTGATTGTAAAAGTGGCAGAACTATGATGGAAATATGCAGGAATTATTCCTAAAGCAAAAGGAGTTGAAGCCTTTTTAAAGTCTGGAACTTGAAAGTGTTATAAGATTCTTTCCTTATTCACTGAATTCTTAGAATAAGGTACAGCACAAGGAAGTTAAACACAATCAGACTCACAAGTTCGGTTATAGTCCGTCTTAATAAAAGTATCTTTAGCCTTTCTGTAATTTCCTGGTCTGGTTTAGTGGGGCTGACAGCTATAGAATTGGCATTGACTCCTACTAGTGTTCTAAGCAGTGGTGGGATTCAAATTTTTTTACTACCGGTTCTGTGGGCATGGCTTGGTGAGTGTGGCAGGGGGAGGATACCGTAAAATCTCCAGGCAGAGGTGGGATTTGTTGGTTCTCTGAACTACTGGAAATTTCTGCTACCAGTTCTCCAGAACTGGTCAGAACCTGCTGAATGCCACCTCTGGTTCTAAGTAAATTCTCCCAATTTAAAATACTTTTCATCCTTTAAAGCCATGTGAGTCTTGGCTGCTAGAGACATTTACAATCACTTACTTGAACTAATTGCTAATCAGGCTAATTGTTCTAACCAACATGGTCAGTTTTGGAGAAACATAAATGAGAGGATTGCAGTTGAATTGCTGTGTTTCAGTTGCAGCACCCACTCCCCTGATTGAAATTAGTTTGATTTTGTTTAATTAAATGATAAAAAAACAAAGTCTTCTGAAGACTAAGGAACATCTGTGTTGAATGTATTGTGTTTTAAAGGGGATTGATTAAAGCTTTATGCCATAAATTGGATTATATGTATCTATGGTAAATATAGTAAACTACACACATACAGATATTTTACGATGCCTGTGTTAATTTCAAGAGTCAGGACTGAAGTGTAGAAGTATGAAATAAATTTTTATATATGGTATAGTCTCAACCTGAATACAAAGCAATTTTAAACTTGATGGTGGAAAAAACAAAGATGATAGTTTCATTTCCTTCCGCTCAGAAATAAAGATTTTAGGGAGGAAGCTACACAAAAAAATCCAAATGAAGAATGTCAAGTTATATAACCAGGTATACTAAATTCAGAACAATTACAGCAATTATATCTAAAAGAAGTACTATCAATCCATCCTGGACCAAATAAAGGCTGTTTTCCCCCCTCTTATTTATCAGCAAACAATATTTCAGATATGTTCCATATCTGATGGGGCAGATTAGAGGATACATCATTGGCAAAGTAGGAAGAAAGAAGACAAATAATTGTATAGATGGAATGAAAATGTTTTAAATTGTTCCAGACACAGATGAAGATTATTACCATCCTTATTTGCCAGGGGACAAGCCTGATTCATTGGCACTACAAGTACAACACAGTTACAAAATATAGGATTCAAATTTTCAGGTAGGCTTGCATTATGAAGTAAGGCTTGCATTATGAAGTAAACAAAGGACAGTTTAGTATGTTTTGTGAAACAATTCAATATATACTTTTATATTGTCTTTATAAGAAATTATTTCAGTTCCATTATTTTACATGCAAATTGATATAAATTGACCCTATATGTAGTTACTCAAATATAAATCCCACTTTCAATTAGCCTTATTTTCAATAGGGAATACTAGAACTGAAGCCTAATAATTGCATTCTGAAATAATTAGCTTCCTATATCATTAATAAAAAAGCAATTGCTCAAATGAGTAGAGAACAAGCATATACAGTATGCGCAAAATGTTGCTAATTTGTAAATTTCAGTTTTGCTTGCAAAACCACTAGGGGTCTCTGTAAGTCCAAATTTTAAGAATAAATAGGGGAGGGGGAAACCTCTCTTCACCATCTTATTTTTAAAAATTCCTGATAGGAAAAATGTATTTATCATTCACTTTATTTTATGCAAATCAAATCACGAACAAGTTGATTTTGCAACTATTGCTTATAATCAAAAGTATACTGAACATAGTTTCCAAGCAAAATGGAGAAAAAGCACTTTTGGTTACTTACAAGGCGTGTCAAATTTTTCAACTTTCAATATCCAAACATTAGGGGTAGTCAAAAGTTGTGACATGCCTTGGGATTGTAAAGATATTTTGGTGGTTACTTTAATATAATTTAGATGTGCTTGGTAAGTAACTACATAAATCTAACTTTTTAACCATTTGTTTCATTTCACAAGGTGGTCATAAGTTCCCATACGGTTACACTCTTACTTTACAAAAATCATATATTGTACTCAAAATGGATAATTACTTATGGAAACATTTAATGTTGTTAGGATAAAGCTTTATTTGCTTGAGTAGACAGTTCAGTTTATTTGCAAGAAATTGTATCATACTGCAAGAATTTCTTTCAAGCATATATTAATATCCATGTTGGATTTTTACTTTTATGTTATCCTTATTTCACAGATAGTCAGTAGGAAACTGCATGTTTTTGGATGACGTGATCTCAAATATATAAGGGTTAGTCTCATTTGAAGGACAGTAATGACTATCCATTATCTTCCACAAGTTTATTGAAGGCTGCTGTAGAATTTGTTCTTCAGTCCGTGCTTGCCCCAGGCTGTCTGAATCTATGTTATTTATTCCACAAGGTTACTGGATTGGATTGCAACGCCTAAGCCAGACATGTGCATGTTTATTGCACATATGGTTACCATTCTGGCTATAAAGTAGACATTTATTATTGAAAGGAATGTGAGGGCAGAATAGGAATAAAGCCTTTCTCCCCCTTCTGTCGTCTTCTTCTTCTTTGTTTTTTTTGCTCTGCTTGGTTCATTTCCAGTACTGGAGCTGGGTTCAAAATTAGAGTTCAAGCAATAAAATAAAGATGTTGGTTTCACTCTTATTCTGTGTGAGCCCAATGCTGTATTTTTATTGACTATATGAAACGGATCTGTTGAGAAGTATTACTGAAACAAACGGCACTTAGAAATAAAGAACAACCTGTCCTCTGACTAAGATCAGATCCCCACTTTCTGCTTGGCCTATTACCAGTGCAGAAACAGATTACATTATCTTCCTTTCACCCCACAACACATTGTAAATAGACCTTTGCCTACGATTTCCTGCTTCAATTCAAAATTGTTTTCCAACCTGAGTTGTCTTGAGCCCTTCAGAGCTCAACCATTCATTCAGAGATTGTTCAAAGTTATGACAGCATTAAAATGAGTAGTAGTTACAAAGCAGCCCTCAGAGTTCTGGCTGTTGCAGCATCCCCATGGTCACATTTAACATAATTTCTGATGTTCCCTATCAGCTTCCCCCAAGCAAAATCAATGGGGGAGCCAGCAGAAAGTCATAAGTCATGGTCACTACAGATCCTAACAAGGGTCCATGTGGCCCTTGCTTGATGATGGCAAATGGAACTGCTGAACTGTTGCTGCTGAGTGGCATGGTCATGTGACACAATGCTTTATAGCCATGTTGCTTACCAGTAGGAATTCCAGTCCCAATTGCTGTCATAACCCAAGAACTACCTGTAGTAGTCTCAACTCTAATTGGTTGCACTGTTTGACATGCCCCCAGCCCTTCAACAGGTGGTTACTACCCCTGCAGCCATTTTATCCCAACTTGCTTTGTAGCTATGCTCTCTTATAAGTAGTAGCTGTTGGGTTTATCCAGTGGCTCATTGAGTCAATGAACTATCCTAGAAGGGTCTATTGAATTCAATCCTTACTTTACCTAGTGGGTGCCCTTTTGGTTTCTGCCTGTCTTAGATGAAGCTTGCTCCCCTTGCTTTCCAACACTCCCTTGCAAAGTTTCTTTTTTTTTCTTCTGTAGAAGTTGCAGCAGAGGAACATAGTTTCTACCAAGCGGAACTATTGGTTCTCCCTTGCTTTACAATATCCGTAAATCTACCAAGGAAAGATATGAGGCTAGTGAGGGGAGAACATTTCCTAAAAGAAAAAGGCAGGCTTTGGTAGATGGTAGATAGCCTGC